GAAGGCAACCCAAAAGGACCATGCACAACCGGGTCAAGTACATACCAAATATAGTTACGGGCTTAAACACTAATCCAATAGTTATGATTGTTTGAAGTTAGAGTGAAATTGGGTGAAAACCCGTTCTGACGGGGTGAGAAGTAATTCTCACGACGTGAGAGTCCTCACGAGGTGAGAATATATTCTCACGACATGATAACTATGCAACCCAAAGCCCATGAAACGTTTAAGGTTTTCAAGGTATTTAAAGGTAAGTATTCATGTTTTAGGGTATTTTGTTAGCCTCCAACATATCTAAAACTTCTTGGGAGAAACCCTAGCCTCCATTTCAATATTTGAGCCTCCCCTCTCCTCTCTCATCCATTTTTGGAGTGTTTGGTGGTTTTGGAGCAATGTTTTCATGCAAGATTGATCCTTGAAGCTTGGCAACTGAAGATCTCAACTTTCATCTACCTTCTACACCTTTTTAAGTTATAAAGTTCCAAGCTTTATTGCATTTCATCTTTATATCTAAGTGTATTTGGTGTTTTGGTCCATTTTAATGAGTTTTGAGTGAGAATTGGGAATACAGTTTGCAAGTTTATTACTCTCCAAGGCCCCAAGAACATTGTATGTTTCAGATATGGACTCCAACACCTTTTGATAAGTTTAGAATGTTTTCTTGGACCTATTGGACTAGGAAAGTTTTGATCTTTTGTCTTCCCTTTCAGCCATGCAAGTTATCTTGGTCATTTAGGTCATTTTGGGGTATTAAAGTTTTGGATCTCAGAAGCTTGAGACATTATTATGGATAAAGTTGGGAACTTTATCCATCTATACATCATGTTGATTTAGATATGAAGGTTGGAGACTTGGACTTAATGGATTTAGCTAGAAATATGCATTCTTGATCCCTTTGAGACTCAAAGATTAGATCTTGGTTGTTTGGACCATCTTAATGGATAAATTTGGAAACTTTATCCATTATGAAGCTATTTAGGAACTAGATCTGGTGTTATGGGACTTGGTATGAAGTGATTAAGCACTTAATGAGGATTTTGACCATCTGATAAGAAGTCACGCTGTGACATAGGATGTGTCACGAAGTGATAGTGCCCGGAATCGTGATTGTTTTGTCGTTTCATTATCACGACGTGACCAAGGAATGGTCATGACGTGATGTTGACTTTGACTAACCTGACTGTTGACTTTTTGATAAGTTTGACTTTTGGGTAAACTTGGGTAGAATTGAGTATTTGACTAAGGATTGGTCTCGGTTTGGTTTTAGGAAGTTTGGGTTGGTTGTTCTGATGTTGATTTAGATGTTGGGCTTTTTTTGAGTAGTTCAGGTGAGTCTTCTCACTATACTTGCCTGTGTGGTAGTATATATGTGCTGACCAGCTGGGTCTTATTTGCTGTTATTGTGATATGTGTTACTGTGTGTACTGAAACGTCGGGTAGTCTCCAGGGTTGCTGATAACCCCTAGGGTGTGTTGTTTGCCCACCGAGACTTCGGGTAGTCTCCAGGGTTGCTGATAACCCATAACTGTTATTTTTGCTGTGTTGTATGTGATATTTGGGGGACTCACTAAGCTTTGTGCTTATAGTTGTGGATTAAATATTTTGCAGGTACTTATTGGATTGCAAAGACGGGACTGTACACACACATTAACAGATTATGATTTGAGATTCCACATTATCTTCTTATTAACTCTGATTTCGGAATAATGGTTTATGAATAAATGGTTGTAACTTTATTAAGAATGGATGTTATATTATTTTAAAAATGAAAAAAATAAGCCCTGGTTTTTGGGATGTTTCAAGTAATGGTATCGAAGCTAGGGCACGGGTCGATGTATTCGACAGGGAAGTCGAACCCTATAATGGGGGGGGGGTGAAGGTGGGTTGCACCTGATCCCACATCAACTTGGAAGGAGAACGAAACATTTCCTTATAAGGGGTGTCAATACCTTCCTTGTCACAACACGTTTTACAGCCGTGAGGGCAGCAGATCCCATAAGAACTCTACAGTTAAGCGTGCCGGGACGAGAGCAATTCAGGGATGGGTGACCCCCCTGGGAAGTTTCTTTATAAGGATTGTCCAAGTTGTGGAATTGGAAGGAGAACGAAACATTTTCTCATAAGGTGTGTCGATACCTTCCTTGTCACAAAACGTTTTAAAGTCGTGAGGGCAACATATCCCATAAGAACTCTGCAGTTAAGCGTGCCCGGGCGAGATTAATTCATGGATGGATGACCCCCTGGGAAATTTTCGCGTCGGAAGGCCAAAGCGGACAATATTGTGATACGTGCCAGAGGGGGATGTTACAAAGTATCCCAAAATCATTTTATTAATATAATATCCGAGTATGATGTGCACAATCACGCCTTCGCCCTGCCCCTATCATCTGAAGTACCTAAAACCATAAAATCAAACTGTAAGCCAAAGCTTAGTGAGTTTCCCTTAATATACCACACACAACCAAACAGATAACAACATGCATATATGAGGCTTCAGCCTGAATAGACCGCCTCATAAGGCCTACAACCTATCTGGACCGCGCGGGCCTACGATCTGACTGGACCGCCTCGCAAGGCCTACAGTCTATCCGAAACGCCCCGATATCTTTGCCTTCAGTAAAAAGCAGGACCGCCTCAACCCAAACATCACAATATGTTGACATATACACATAATCAAATAAGAAATAATAATCAACAAATTAGGTATATACAGATCTACCGACTATCCAATCCCCACAGCATACAATATTCCTTATACCAAGATACATACAAATCCAGACGACTGACAGTGGTGCCTTCGACCCTCGAGTACAATGAGGAAGAACTCACCTCAATGTCCAAAAGATAGCTGAACTGAACATTGCTCCAAATACCGACTCTACATATCACCTAAACATCAAACAGAGACCAAGCCTCAATCTACCAGTCAAATTACCCCATTTAACCTAAAGTCAAACTTGGTAAAAGTCAACAGTCAAAAAGTCAAAAGTCAAAATTCAACATCAGCCAGGTTACGCCATGCGTAGCAGCTCTATGCCCTGCGTAGAGCATCAAATGACTTTTTATGCGTAGCCATAAGTACACCCTACGTACTAATGCTGAAGCAAAACTTTCCATTAAGAGCTTAATACAGAAGGACACCACGTCCAACTCTCAGTTCTGGTCTAAATAAATGTCCTAAGTGATAAAGTTCCAAACTTTATGCACTTGCATGGATTATCAAGGCTCAAGAACATATCCTAAACTCATGACAACTTTTATGGGCCAAAACTCGTGCATGGATGGTTAGGAATGGACAAGACCACATTTTATGACTTAATACCCTCAAATACATCTGGAAATGCACTCTACAAGATCTAGAACAACTCACACTCAAATAGACTAATTTGAGGGACAAAAAGGACATAACTTTAACACCAAAAATGGATCTAACAATGGAAGCATAAAGGTACAAACTTTATACCTTCTGGAGGCGAATGAGGGGAAAGGACTTCCAGATCCAAGGCTGATTCAAGCTTCCAAGCAACTCCACCACCTTCTTCTTTCTTCAAAAGCACCCAAAAACACTCTTTAAGCTCACAATGCACCAAAATGGAGTTAGGGTTTCAAGGGAGACGTTTGGGATAATGGAGGCTGAGGATGAAAGGGTTTCATGAAAGTTTAAGTCCTTAAATAGGGCTCAAAACCCCGAAATTAGGGTTTGGGATCTGGCCAAGTACGCCCTACGTACTAAGATCTACGCCCTGCGTAGATCATTGAAGCCTCGACTCCAAGATTCCTTCTACGCAACGCGTAGAAGGCTATCTACACCCTACGTAGATCAAAATTCAACATTTCAGTTTAGAAGATAAGGAAAGGAATTTACCTGCAAGGATCGGGTGTTATATATATATATATATATATATATATATATATATATATATATATATATATATATATATATATATATATATATATAGTTAAACTCTTCGGGACATTGGCCCAATAGCTCCCTATGTGGTTCTAAATTGGAAGCTGGTTAGAGTAGTAGTCAATGTGAGCTGTCATCTTCAAAACACGGGGTTCGGAGACGTGTCGTGTGCAATCTTGAACGAATGTAAAGTTCAAGTGGCTTTGAATTGTGTGTGACATGCTTTGAAAGATCTCCTTTTTACTCATTACGATATCATATGCCTCTTCGATTTCTAGATCCTTATATAGGTATGGAACTATGGTGGTGAACATATGGCAACAAATGTCGATCGAGTCGCTTAGCTGCTTATCATACGAGCTACTCTCAACTCTAATAACTTATTCATACTTAATGGGGACATGCCCATCAAGGATGTAACATTAGTTTTCCTGCAAGATAAGGGTGAACAGTTAGTACCAAATCCCGATCCCGTATCAGTACCGAATTTAAACATATGAGACGATACTCGGTACCCTAAAGTCGTAAAATTCGGGATTCGGTACCATCGAAACCGATGCTACTACCAAAAACTGATACCATTCTCGGTAATGTTAGTTCGATTCGGTACTCGTTATTGAGTTTCCACCTCTTTCGATACTCTGGATTGTTGGGTTGGTTTTGGCTCCATCCCATGTTCATCCATACTACAAGATAGAACCATACATTACTAATAATTGGTTGTCTTTTTAACATGATTCCTTTGTAATTTAAGAAAAACTAAAGCTATGTTTGGTATGCCAAAACTAGCTTATAATTTAATTTATTTTTCGGATATTTTAATTTTGTTATGTTTGACAAACAAAAAAATACTTATAAGCAAACCTATAAACTAGAATTTAAAATAACTACTCTAACTAACATTTCTACGAGTTTATTAAACTTTTTTTTTAAAATTCTTTTAAATATAATAATTATTAATTATAAAAAAAATCGATCTAATTTTTTTCGTTATTATATATATTTAGTTTGATCTAAAATCATTTTTTAACGGCCGAGCATTAGTCCAACCAAGCACAAAGGGCCTTGAGAAGAAAAAAGATCAAACAAAAAGCCCCATAAACATAGGAAAATCCTAATGGCATCATCCATGGCGCCCGCTCTATCTTCGTCCCTCTGCTCAACCCCTCGAAAATCATCAATCATCCCTTTCTTACCCTCATTTCAGACGTCCATTTCCCTCCAATTTAACTTCAAAGTCCGCAAACCCATATCCAAATTCAAGCAGAAGAACACCATCACCCTAACGGCAATCACCTGTTTGAAATCAGGAAGTAAATATGCAGCAGAAGAAACGAATTCAAGTTTCGCTGTCACTGCGCCATCTTTAGCCGAATCAAATGGTCAACGAAACTGGATTGTAGTAGTTAAGGCTCCTCCTTCGCAACAAGCTGTTTCTAAACCAGATGTTATTGATTATTATGTCAAAATTTTGGAGAGGGTTTTGGGCAGGTGGGTATGTTCTATTCCCTCTTTCGAACAAGGCCCTTTTTCTTTTTGGCTTTGAATGGGTTTCAAAATTGATGTTGCTTCTATAAATTTCCCAGATGGAATGCTATGTATTGCGTTCGTAAATCAATTCAAATTTGATTTTTTAGAAACCACGCTTGATATCAACATTCAAACTTCAAAGTGTAGCTCACTCAGTTTCTTTGTTTCTGTTTTTGTTCTTCTGTTGAATCAAATAGTGAGAAGGAGGCTCAAGGCTGCATATACAATGCTTCTTGCGACACCCATTTTAGTTTCTGCTGCGATATGGACGAAGAAACTTCCCAAAAACTCGCATGTACCCTCTTTCCTAATTCCACTCAAACAAATTTACAATTAGAAAATGTTGAATTCTTATACTATCATATCAATATTCTAAAATAATGAAGAACAAAGAAGAAAACATTTGCTTATGTGTGTTTAATCACAGGTTTGCCAGAGGTATTATCAATCAAACCCGATCCAGATTTCAACTCTGTACAAAAGGGCTATAGCAATGAAAAGAGTGAATCGAATTCATTTAATAAAATCTTATCTCCATTATTTCCTTCCCAAAGCTTAAAGCATTGGCTTGTTCGTGTAGAGATGCCAGCATCAGGAGTCTTAACTAGGGCACACTTAGTTGATTATTATACTCAGATACTAACCAAAGTTTTGGGAAAGTATGTATTTATATTTTTCTTGTAAAAATGAAACCATTTTTTTTGCTTTATTTGGCCTTCTAATCTTTAATTTGATTTTTATAAAACAGTGAGAAGGATGCACAAATGTGTATATATCATATTTCCCTACACTCTGACTATGGATTCTGTTGTGAACTCAATGATGAGTACGCAAAGGAATTATCCAGTAAGCTATATTGTAAATTCATGTTACAATATTTGTTTGTATCTTCTTGTAAATTATAAGTTTGTTGCAGGTGTTCCTGGCGTTATATCTGTTAAACCAGATGGGTCTTTCGATTCAGATGATAAAGATTATAGAGGTATTATAATATCTTTCATATTCTGATTTTCTTTTTTCAATTTATATTATATCAATTCTTGATTGTTTGTCACATATCAATCTATAATCATTTTCAGATTATAATATTCAAGATTCCTCGTTAACAAATCAGCCAACAAATATCAAAACAAAGAAGCTTTTTGTAACTGGTACGTCGCATATTTTAAGCACTATTTTATAGAAATGTAAGTATGTTATTATTATTTCTCATTGTTATCAAATGTAGTTATTATTAAAGGCAAATTGCAGATAATAACAACATATTATACCTTTTTTAACAATATAGGCAATATACTTTCTTTTACTTATAATATCAACCTACTTACATTCTTTACAATTGACAGGTCTGTCGTTCTATACATCCGAGAAAACTTTACGTGCGGCATTTGAAGGTTTTGGAGAGCTTGTTGAGGGTAATTATGTCATTTCACTCTGAACATGTAAGTAACACAGTTATACTCAAACCATAACAATCTAATTGGTTAATTCATGTTACAGTTAAAATAATAATGGACAAGATCTCAAAAAGGTCAAAAGGTTTTGCATTTATTGAGTACACTACTGAGGAAGCTGCAAGTGCAGCTCTTAAAGAAATGAATGGCAAGGTAACGAATTATAAAACATGTCATTTAATTATTTAAAGTGATTAATGAACTTTTTTTTTTTTTTTTTTTGTGTACAGATTATAAATGGTTGGATGATAGTTGTTGATGTTGCCAAAACAAACCCACCAAAGTACAGCAGAGGGCGTCTTAGACCACCGCAGTAATGTGTATTATGGGGGTAGAATCGTCAATTTTTTGTTTGGTATCATTTATTTTTACTAGCAGAGTTGTATAATAATAGCAGAATGTTAGTGGACGTGTGACGTGTCTTGTTAGTGTTAGGATGATGTAGTGATAGTTACACGAAGAGATAATGTTTACATGGTTTTACAATTTTGTGATTGGAATTATTATAATATGGTTAGAGATTGGGTAGTATGTCAAAAACAGTGGCGGACGCAGAAGGTTTTAGTAGGGGTGACACTAAAATTTTTTTTCCAAAAAAATCTAAATTAGTAGTGGCACTCGCATTTTAAGCCGGTGCACCTAATAGAAAAAACATAAAAAACATAATTTTTTTTTTTTTTACACTACATGCCGGAATCGGAGCAGTGGCCCGGGACCCCCCGGGCACCACTAAGGTCCGCCACTGGTCAAAAAGGAAAAAGAAAAAAACAAGAAGGTAGCTTCTTTATGGGATAATGACTTAAAAGGGTAATATATTTTTCGATTTGTACATATTGGTCACTGAGTTTTTTTTCGTCACATTTTGTCTCTTCAACTTGTTTATCTGTAAACATTCAGTCCTTACGACCAGCTATTCTAGGTAAACCGGAAAAAATGACTTAATAGGGTAATATATTTATCATTTTGTACACATTTAGTGCTTAATATATATATATATATATATATATATATATATATATATATATATATATATATAGGCTTATGTTATTCTATTTAAACTAATTATTGTGTTATTGTATGCATAAATGTGGACCAATCATTTTACTTATTTTAAGAAAGTGATTAATATATATTATTAAATTAAAGATAATTGAAAAATACCATCTAATTTCATTCTAAGGGTATTTTAGACAATTGAGATAAATTTAAAAAAGGAAAATTCCATATTTTTTGGGATCATTAACTCTCTTGATTTTAAAATTCTAATTTTTTTAATTACTTTAATTTTAATTATAACGTAATTTTTATAATTAAACACGATTTTATTCTGTTAGAATCATATTCTCTAGGAATTTCAGGATATATATTTCTATTAGAATGATATTCTATTAGAATGCCAACACCGACTAATAACAAATTTTTGGATACAACTTCAAATTTTTCATTACTTTCTTAAAAATGTAAAAACTTTATATAATAGTCTATGACAATGAAATACTCACTAATAACAAACAAAACCATGTATATTATTTGACCTGAATATTCTAGCAGAATATATTATTACATATACTCCTATCATTCTATTGTAGATTATTCTATCAGAAGAATAGCTATTTCCTTTGTGAAGACCAGTGACAATTGTTCAGCCATCATCTAATCTTCAAGCCCTTGATCATCAATGAAAATAGACATTTTACCAAAATAACTACCATGAATCAAATCATGTAATAATAATATTCTCTGAGAATGCTTTTGCATGGCAAATAAATAACACAAAATTTTAGTAAATCTGACAGAATGAATACCACATGTTAAGGTCAGATTATTTTTCAGGAACTTCCACAAACACCTGTCATGCATCATAATAAGCTCTATGACAAATTTCACCAAAAGATTGTTAATTTGCAAATTCTAACAGACCTGAAGTGAAAATAACATGAATTACAAGTATGTAAGCTACCTTGCTTCTATGATTCCATAGTAGGCTACAAATCAGTATATATTAAAGGTGATGTGTACACATCAATTCAGTGAATGTTTTATTGAGAAGACAAGGAATGAAAATACACATATACCCTCGTAGTACCATGTCTTGAATTGATAAATGATAACCATGAGGCATATCCATCTTGCCATATGGACTCCCATACCCTGTGTACCTTTCGGATTTTGACGAAGGAGTGAAAATTAGAAATGCAGAAACAAAGATGATGACTTCTGGCAAGGATCCGTGGGTCTGCGACAACATATTTCAAATGAGTAGAGATTTATACCAATTTTGAAATCGGAAGTAGAGATTTGACAACAAAAGTCAATTGAATCCACTAATTAAACACGGATTTATATCATGAATCCGATGAGAATCGACATACCGATCATCAATTTCAGTGGAAATTAAATCAGTAAACTGAAAGAAAAGGGAAAAGCGATGAATTACGAGTTCGCTGAAGCACCAAATGTAGGGTTTTCTCTAAGGGGCTGAAACGAGAATCGACCAAGAAACCTCGCAACACACTTGCCATAGATACGCGAACGAGTTCGCTGAACCAACTGCCGCCTCTTCATCTCGTCGATTGAACCACCCACCTCTCTTCCCTTCACACACTATGCCGGAACCGAGATAGAAGCAGCCGATAGCTGAAGATCTGCACCTGGTAACCTGCAATAGAGGGAAGGTTCGGGATTTGAGATTCTTCCGGTTGACTTTGCCAAATCGAATGAAATTTCATCGAGTGTTGACTCTAGCCCATGTACACGAGACTCCATGGAGTGATATACTTCATTCAACAAAACCCTTAATCAATTACAGTTCTACATAACTCTACTTGATTACAACCATTTATTGCCATTAATATGATTCACTATCATATAATTGTGATCCTTGCTGAATCTGTGTAATAGTGAGTCAATAACCAGAAGTTAAGGTCCACAAAAGCTCTATTCCATCAGACACAACACAGATGTTGATTAAACACAAAATGGATTTCTTATGTATCAATCTGAATAACTAATTCAACAGAGAATATCTCCAAGGTGTATATGGAAAGTGAAACCACCATATGTAAATGAAAAAAATTATTTTACTCAAAGTAGTTAAGCATATGGCTTAAAACAAACTTTTTTCATAACTAAGAAATCAAGTACATCACATCATCAGTAAATCAATACAACATTAGGTTGTATCAAAGAGAAAAATTTAGGTGGAAACAAGTAATGACAAACAATGCAAAAAAACAAAGAATATATAAATAACTATATAGCCTTTTTATAGAAACTTAATGTTGAGAAGCAAGAACACTGTTAGTTAAGTGTCCCATGTGACGCGAAGATCTATTTAACACAAAAAGGAAACATAGTACACTTTAGAAGGTACCTACAAAGACAAGTGGAGCCGCATCCTCTTTCCATAAATCTACTTATATAAAAATATCTCTCCACTTCCTTTTTTGTAACATCCCGAACTTCGCCGGTATATTTCGAATCCCTTCTCTTTATTTAATTGTCATTGTAGTCCTTGGAGTTGTTGAGTTGGGCCATGAGAAGTATAATTGCTAAAGTTGCAACTTTGGGTCAGAAAGGAGTACGCTGAGCGTACACAAGGGTACGCTAAGCGTACTAGGCGCTCCCTAGTACGTTGGGCGTACACTCATGTACGCTGGGCGTACTCATGTCAGGAGAAAACCCTAATATTTAGGGTTTGGGGACTATATAAACACCCTTATGGATCATTTCCTCTGATTATCCTCAGCATCCACTGCCTACATTCGTCCTCCCCAAAACCCTAGCTCTTCCTTGTGGGTGTAAGCTTATTTGGTGTGTTTTAGAGTGTTTCAAGAGGAAGGCATTGCATCCAAGTGTTGGAGAAGAAGATCAAGTTCATAGATCTGAAGTTAGTTTGTGCTCAAGAAGCTCCTAAAGTTCAGGATTCCCGGTGAGACAGCAGTCAGAGAATTACAGTATTTCAGCACTACTTGCGAGGTGAGTTTTCCTCACTATACTCAAGGGTCTAAGGCACCAAGGTTGGCCCTTTGGATTGTTTTATGGTTATGTTATGCTAGTATGATCTGTTAGATCGGTATCCTAGAGGGTAGGATAATATTATATGATATGTGGTATGATCTGTTAGATCGGCATCCTGGTAGATACGATGGTGTTATGTGCTACGTAGTATTATCCGTTTGATCAAGTATGTCTATAGACTGTTATGTGATTATATGTTATATGTGTACATGTTTGTTTGGTGGTTGAGGCTTATCTGCTTTGTGCGAAAGCCAATAGACCTAGGCATTCCAACCTGTTGGTTGTGGGCCGTGAGTATTCCATCCCGAGGATGACTGGACTCATAGTATGTGGGCATTCCAACCTGTTGGTTGTGGGCCTGGGGTATTCCATCCCGAGGATGATTGGACCTATAGTATGTTGGCATTCCAACCGGATGGTTGAGGGCCTGGGGTATTCCAACCCGATGGTTGACTGGACCCATAGTATGTTGTTTACGATTATATGTGTATTATTGTGGGTATGGGTATTTTGGGGGAACTCACTAAGCCTCGGGCTTACAGTTTCAGTTTATTGTTTCAGGTACATCAGGGGATCGCGGCAAAACGAAGGCGTGATCGTACAGCTCCTCATATTTATGTTTATGTTTCTGGGATACTCTGATATTATGCCTTTTGAAAACAAGTTTTGTAATAACTAATGGTTTTTGGATTGTTTAAAAAAGTTTTAAATTGGATTGAATTTTATGGGTGTTACATTTTTGCGCATCCCCGCGATCTGCATCAGTGGGAAAATCCAGAGGAAAAGATATATGAAGAAGCAAATTGTTTGAGATTAAACTTAAACTATCAACTGTGGATTGAAAGTTGAAAGTTTCAGGTATACAAGCCACAAAATCCAGATAGACTAACTTCACTTTTAGACATATTGAAATCCCTAATTGGTCTATGTTTTCATTTGTAGTTCATCTAACTCAAAGTAATGACATTTTTGTTGATACACTAAAATCCACCAGCCTGCACAACTTGCTAATCAAGATGACTCTTCCATTTTTTTTGAAAAGCTAGCATATGTTCTTAATTACATTTTTTTTTGAAAATCATCTGATATTAGAAATTCAAAATCGGAAACGAGTTACCAGTTCATAATTGCTATCAATTCAATAAAATGAAAACGAAAGTAAATCTGACCTTCTTTGTGAACTTGAACATCATCATCGAAAAATATGACAAAAAACTCTCAGCATCTAGAGCTTGAGTTCGCAATTGCTAACATCAAGATCTTGAATTGCATCATTTAAGAATCATAATCGAGACTAATCTGTACATCTCCTTTTCCATCTTCATCGATGATCGAAAAGCAAGTCGGTAGTAGCAACGAAGAGAAAGTCGATCACCAACATTTATCTTCTGTGATCTATCTAGCAGCTACATTGATTGCTCTGGAAGATGGATTCATCGTCCTATGGTTTGGATTTCCTTCTTTTACTTCCGATTCAAGAA